CCTGAGCAGTAAAAATTAACATGCTTGTGTGTCTGTGTGTGTGTGTCAGGTGTGTGCAGGAGAGATGCTGGAAGCAATACATTATGTGCAACATCACGAGGGTTTACTGTGTTTCTTTTTTTTTTTTCCATTAAAAACTATGAGTGTTTAGACATAAATAAAGGAGTTTGTTGGGTTCTCCCCAAATGGCACAAGACAGTGATTTCAGTCTTTTTGTGAACAGACTTCATGGGCTAGGCCACTCAGTTACAAGCTTTTCAAGCTATTGGGATGTAGCATGAAGGTGTGGGGCTGGGCTTTTTGTATATTTGGGTTAATTTTTAAACATTGCTTGTGATTAGAACAGTGTAATCTTTTTTTTTTTTTCCTCAAGTGTGGTTATTTTCTCTAATTAAGAAAAATTGCACCAGTGTTTCTCCATGTGTTTGCAATTTTAGAGCAGACCAATGACACTGTGCACCTTTTGGGGTTGTAGCAGGGTTAATTGCAGAATTACTTTCTGACTGGGGTGATATGATCTGGGCATAAAAGCCCTAAAGTTAGCCATGTACAAGGTTATCATGAACTCTGTAAGTGAAAAGGGAATGCTTCTCTTTATTGGGAAAAATAATGAATCAATGCACTGCTGTCCCAAAAAACAAGAAAGATTTTTTGTTTTTCATGTTAATTCCAAAATGCCTCAGTGCTTAAGCCTATATTTAAAAGGAATTATCTCCTTAAATGTTTTGAAATCAGGACACTGAAGTGTCATAGGAATTAGTAAATCAACTGTTTAAGTTATCAGTTACACAGGTTTTGGATACCAGCGCAGGTAATGGGCTCAGAGTGGAATTTCAGTGTGCTGAGACTGCAAGGTGCAGAGACCATGGCTGGGCACTGAGCCTGTCCATGGTTACAGAAAGCTTCAGCTGTGGTGAGGAGTGAGAGCTCGGAGCTAGGGTAGAGAAGGGTTTCCTGCTGGTTTGAAAAGGTGATGTCTTTCTGCTGGCCAATTCACCAGTCATTTTTGCATTAAAAAAATCCATTAATACTTCTAGAAGAGACAGAATATCAGAGGTGAGGATATAGGGTAACACAAAAGAAAAGAGAAATGCTGGTTTCATTCCAGTGTTGGCAATTAGTCTCTTACACTTGTATCAGAGGGCCTGACCCTGTCAGGGTGTGCACTGACAGCTCCACTGCTCTGTGGTGAAACTGTCTTGATTTACACCAGGGCAGAACTGAAGCTGAAGTTTTGCCCTGGTCCTTTTCATAACTCTGCTCAGAAAAAATGGACAAACAGCTGTGGAATGGACAAGCAGCTGTGTAAGGCCATTGCCTCTCTGTGGTGAAACTGTCTTGATTTACACCAGGGCAGAACTGAAGCTGAGGTTTTGCTCTGGTCCTTTTCATAACTCTACTCAGAAAAAATGGACAAGCAGCTGTGTAAGGCCATTACCTTCTTTCTACATACAGGGGTTTTAAAAGGGAAAGAAAAATGGTTTCTGCTATAATTTTCTCTGTGTCACGGCTAAAAATAACAACAAACCTCTGATGAGTGTCTGAGCTTCATCACCAGTAGGGTGCATAAAGTATATCTGTGTTTTGTTCCCAAAGCTGCTGGAGAAACTGTGAAACATGGAACATTTTGTTATTTTGTTCTACTTGTGAATTGAGACTTTTTTGGATAGTGAGTGTAAACACTCCCATTCTTGAAATGAGGCAGCAGAGCTGATTAAAAATGCAATACAGCAGAGCTTTCCCTGGGCATCAGCTCCTTGGACATGCCAAGCCAAGCCCACAACAAAGCTGCTGAGGGCTGGCCCCTGGCTTTGTTGGCTGCAGGGCTTTGTGGCCACCCCCAAAACCCCAAGTGACACTTTCTCATGGTGGCTGTGCTCAGACTCAGGGTATTCAGAGCAGGGTGGCAGTGCTGCTGTAAGGTCTGGTGTGAGGATTGCACAGCAGCATCCTCAACAGGCTGGCACAGAGGTACAGCTGCACCTGCCTGAGCCCTCCTCTTCCCCTTGGGAATTGCAGCTCCTGTGTGACCCAGGGCCACGTGCTCAGCAGCCACAGCTCAGGCTCTGCTCTTACAGTGGTATCCAACACCCTGGTGTGAGCAGCACATACACCAGGGAAATCAGTGCTGCAGATTTTTTCCATCTGAGATAAATGTGTCCCATGTGCAACACAAGCAGAGCCTGAAAATGGGACACAGCAAGTCCCGAACACTTGTTTCATGTTTTGTGCAAACATGGAAATAATCTCACATATAGATTATTTCATTAAATTCCTTTCAGCAGCAACTGGAGAAGGTTGTTTCACTTGGGTGAAAAAGCCAGGAAAATAGATTCTCCATGTGCTTCTAGTTACTTCAGGGTGATGCAAGTACAGCTTCTTCTACTTAAAGCCACTCGTCTGCAAACTATTATGGGGCACCCTTCTGGAGGGTAGCATTGGCTTCCTGCAGCACCTAACAACTTGCAGTAGTAGATGCTTTATTATTTTTCCATTATCTTTTGGAACCTGGTTTATAGGTTTTGGGAGAGGGCCCTAATATCACAGAAATTTCTGGCTGGAAGGGAACCCAGAAAATCACCTACTCCATCCCCCTGTGCTAAAGCAGGGTCAGGACTTGCTTATCCCAAAGCTTGCAAAATGCTGTGAGAACTGATTTGCTCTGCTCACATGGCAAATCCCAGGGGCACCCAAGGTCAGCAGTGCTCCTCCTGACATCCTGAGAGTCTGTGTTATGCAAGAAGTTTTCTTTCAGGTGTTCATTTTGCTTTGTTTGTTTTGTTGCAGGGCTGTAGACACAATTGAATTCCACATAAGCAACCTGGTGTGTCGAACCATTTTGTTGTCAGAGGTGGATATTTGCAATGTCATCAATAAATGCTGGTGCACAAATATGTTCCAGTAGCAAAATATGCTGAGTTTTCTTCTTATTTTAGGCAGGTTCTTCTTTATTTTTTTCTGTACTGCTCTGACCTAGACTCCCTCTGCTGATACCCCTGTGTGTGGTTTCACTTTCTACAATTCATCACTTCCATGCACAAAATATTGGCCTGAGCTGTGGGGTGCTATAAGTCAAGCTGACCTACAACCCAGAAAATGTGTTTTTGCAGTGGATATTTCATGGGTTTCTCACTGAGGTGTCACAAATCTTATAGGAGGAAACTCTTGTTGGTTTTTCTTCTTTCCTTTCTTGATTTTAAAAGGATTTTTTTCTATCTAGGAAATGCTGCCTCTCTCAGCAATCTGTTCACTTGGCAAGAAATATGACTATCAGGTGTTTAAAATTAAAGTTGTTAAAATCAAATTTGCAGAGGCAGGAGGGTTTGCCCCAGTGTCCTGGACGTAGTCCAGGTTTGGTAATTACTTCTCTCCTAACTCAATCTTTCTTTGCAGTTCTGCGGCGTTCCTCCTGCCCCACTGCAATCTGCTCTGGGGAGCTGCTGTGCCACGGCATGTTCAACATCTGCCTGGTTTTCACCCAGGACTGGCCACACTTCAGTGTCTGGTGAAGTGATTTATGACACAAGGCGTGCACATACGCTGGTTTCCTTCTCACAGTGACTTCTGCTGAATGGGAGGAGTTACTCAGAAGCAACCCTTACGAGAAGATGAGCTCAGGAACTAAATATGGATCTAAGGATTCTGATTCTCTAGGTCTCTTTCAGATGATCTCTTCCCAGCTCATCCCTTTGTCTTATAAGGGGGTGCTGAGAAGTGGTGGCTCCATGAGATCAGCTGTGTTTATGGGATAAAAACCTTCCCCCTTCCCAGCAATCCCCTTGGAGCAGGCAGGAGCATTCCAGGGGGCTGAGCAGCCTCAGTGGATGGGGTAAAGCCAGCACACACACACACACCTGCCAAACAAACATTCTCCCAGCTTCCTCAGTGGATGGGGTAAAGCCCACACACACACACACACACACACCTGCCAAGCAAACATTCTCCCAGCTTCCATGGAACAGGCCAATTCCTCCCACACAATCAGGCCTGAAAACAGGAGCATTCCCTGCTCCATCACTGCTGGGCCAAGGTGAGCTGGTCATAGGAAAGGAGTGTCCCAGACAAGTGTTTGCTGAACTGCTCCTAAAAATTAAGGTGGGTTTAGCAAGAAGGAAGTGGAGAAGCACTCTCATGACGCCCCTGAAAAAGGGAAGCTCACAGGATTTGAGGTGAGGCATATCAGTTGCTTTTGGTGTCATGCTAACCAACACATTACAACCATAATATTACAGTGAGCAGAAAACCTTTATTATGAATATTTTAACATCTCTGCCTCAGATACGCCCTTGGAGCTAGAGCCATGCCACTAAGCATATGATGAATGGAACCTCTTTAAAACTCTCAGATAGGAAAACTCCCATTCTAATTGTTTCAGATCATCTGCATCCTGTGTTTGGTTACACGGGGTAATAGAGGCCATCTGTCTCCCTGCTTTCCAATACATGGATTTATATCTGTGTGCAGAGCTGTTTTCACTAAGAGAGTGCACAGACCCTCCCAAATGTGTGATAAGGAAATGTGTGCACCCAGGAACAGCCAAACTTCCCGGCCTTACAAGCCATGTATCAAGTTCTTTGTAAAGGCTGTGGGCACAAGATGCACATTTTGGCGTGTCCAGGAAACTGAGGACTCCAGGAATTAATGGGAAACACTTTTTGATCCCCTTTTCTCCCACCAGTCTTTTGGGGCATGGGGCTGGGTTGGGTCCCAGAGCACCATCTGGCACTGTCTCCCCTGATGGGAAATGAGACATGACCAGAATCCCTGTCCCTTTGCATGGATTTATGGAATCTCCTCCACAGCCCACTCCTGTGGCCTGAGAGAGATGTGCACAAAGGTCCCATCAGGGATGTGGGGGCTCTGTGTGAGCTGAGTGTGTCAGGATGAGGGGGGAAGGACACAGCTGGAGACCCACGGGGAGAGGCAGACCCATGTCAGGCACTTGATCTGTGCAAAAAGAGCATCAAGATGTCACCAGCCCTTTGGGTGAAAATGTTTATTTCCATTCAACAAAAATTCAGTGCATTTCAGATGAAAGGATGCAGTGAAATTTCTCTTTTCTTAAAACTCGGGTTATTTACAGAAGAATTAAAATGAATCATCGACCAGCTTGTCTGGCTGAGAGGCAAGGGCAGCACCAGGGGTGAGCAGCAGTGAATCACCCCCTGCTTCCACCTCTGCAGGCACCACCTCAAGGTTTCTTAGCAGAAAAAAAAAATGTCAAGGAAGTTATTGAGAATTGTAAATCAAGCACAGCAGGGATAAATAACTTTATGGTGCGGCTGCATTAAGCTACAGCTCTCCCTTCTACAAATACACCTTTTGCTGACTTATCGCAATAGTAGACTTTAAAGGCAGCCAAGCAGTGCAGTACATTTCTTCACTCAGATTAAAAGCATTGTTTAAATTCTTGTGGCTAGACAATTTGTCTTGTCCTTTTTAAAAAGAAAAAAAAAAAAGAAGCCATTATTAAAGAGCAAAGCAGCACAAAGAGACTGGGATGTAGGACTGAGGGACTGCAGGGAATTTTTAGCTCGCCTGCTGCAAATCAAGATCAGCCTTTTTACCTTTCCACAATCTTCCTCCCTTTGTTATTTGTGGTTACCACAAAATCTTATTCAAAGATTCTCTCAGATGCTAGAATTAGATAATGTCTCTGGAAAAGGGTGTCACAGTCTGGATAAACATGGCCATGAATAAAATATTTTATGTAATGACACCTTTCATCCAGCAAGGCTCCAGGGGGGGAAATACTATAAAAGCACATATTTATTATTTCAGAAATAATAAGATGTTTTATATGATTATATAAACACATGGAGATAACAGGTGTATTTGTATCTCAGATTCAAGCACTTTTTGGCTTGATACAAAGCCATCCTGATCCAGGGGTGAACAGGAGCAGCGGGTGGGTGGCACATAATGCTTGTGATGCCTTTTATATAACAAGACAAAGCTTTTCCTGAGAGAGGAGCCATGCAGAGGATGTGCTACAACCTCCCCCAGGACTGCCAAGGACATCCGTGATGGGATTTTTGTGGTGTCCAGTGGCATTTTCTGCATCCAGCCCAAACACATCATGCCAGGCTCGGCAGAGGTGACTGCAGAGAACACCTGTGATGTTTTAGGGCCTGTGATTTTCCTGTCTTACTCTGTGCTATCTGTCAGGGAAAGGACTGGTTAAAATGACAGGGCTGAAGGAAGAACAGAATGGGGATGTTGTCCAGTCTGGAGAAGAATAGGGCTGTTGCCCACCACCAAAAAACCTGGTTATGTCAACTTTAACAACACATCTCCCATGACTGTGAACCTCAGGCAGGACAGCAGGGGGTGGGTGAAATTCAATAGACAGCACATGTTTGGGTAAAAGAATACCTGAATAAAAAAAGGAAGAAGCCATGGGAGCATCAGTGAATGCAGCAGTGGAGACTTTGCCATGAACCCCCACGTGTTCACCCACCCAGGCACTTTGATTTTCTTGATTGTAGATGGTTTACTCTTTCCTGTAATTTGACATAGAAACTGTCATTTGGATTGCTGAGCTGTTAACCTCTTTTCACCTGCAGGCTGTTTTAAGAAGATCCACACAAACTACTCAATTTTATGTATAGATAAATACAAACACCCTGGCACCTAATAGGTCAGAACAAGCAGATACGTCCATGCAGCCACAGAACTCATTTAATAGCACCAGTTGTATAAAATGCAGATCTTACTCTTGCCATTTTTCAGTCCCCACAGGCTCCAGCAATGTTCCTGTGCTCAACAGGGTTTTGGGATCCAGCTGCAGCTTTGCAATTCCAGGTGCCACAATTTCCTTCAGCCCACTTTCAGTTTTATTAAACAAAAAAAAAGAAAAAAAGAAAAAACCAAAAAAAAAAGAAAAAACAAAAAAAAATAAAAACCCACACTTATTCTCTTAGGGAACAATAATGAGATCACCTGATAGTTTTGTGAAGGTGACTGTCTGATCAGTGTCTAAAAGTGAGGAAATGACAAAGCACAGCAAGCTGCTGTTCTCACAGAGCGAACTTGTGCAGGAAGTATGTTGGTTCATTTTTCTGAAAAAAAAGAAAAAAAAAAGAAAAAAGTCAAACTGAGGATTTCATGCTAAGTGCAAAGGAGCAGACTGCTCTGCCTTGTGCATTTGTACATTAATCCAGCCCAGTGGTAAAAAAAGAAAAAAAAAAAAGACTATTGAAGGCATTGGGAAAAAAAAAATAAAATCAGTGCGTGGAAAGGAGCTTAATACATTCACAACGTTATTCAGCTCTAACAAAGAGCAGCAACCCCAGATGACCTCCTGGCTCCTGTCTCCACCCAAGTTCCTGGCCCCTGTTCAGCGTCCTGGCAGAAGTTGCAGACATCCGCCGCACGGTGCCAAGAGGCTGTTTTGTCTGTAGATATGTAATAGAGATTAGCCAGTGCTGGGGGAGCTGCTGCTGCACACACCGGCACCTCCGCACGGAGACCTGGCATCCCAGCGCCCTCCGAGAGCTTCTGTTCCCCATCCAGAACCCGCTCGGAGCCTGCAGGAGAGAGGAGAATTCCCAGAGAATTCCCAGCAGGCTCGGGGGTCTCTGTGTTTTCCCCCCCCAGCAAGGACTGAATGGATGGATGGATGGTGGATGGATGGATTATGGATGGATGATGGATGGATGGATGGATGGATGGATGGATGGATGGATGGATGGATGGATGGATGGATGGATGGATGGATGGATGGATGGATGGAGTGGCTGTGCCATCAGACCTGCGTGATGTGCCTGGACAGGGATCATGGATCCGCCCCGATGGCGCTGGAGTGGAAGCAGAGTGACCCCGTGCACAGGGCTCGTTAACACCTCCCGCCTTCCAGAGCTGTGCCCGGAATGGAAACGCCTTTTGTTTTCCCGTAGCAGGCTTTAAAAGAAAAATCTCGGGTTGACTTTAAATACTTTTTACCCTCCCCCTCCCTTTTTCCACCAGAGACAGGAAACTGTTCTTTCATGCGTTCAGAAATGCAAATTATGATTGGCAGAACATTACAGTGCAGAAAAAAGAGCTTTTGAAAGAGGTCGTGGAGGAGCGATCAAGGCAGATAAAAAGTTAGGCCGTGCACCAGATGGGCCAATCTCCCTGAGTCACACACCCCCTGCTCGGGATCTTGTGTTTTTATCAAAGGACTGGGCAGATCTGAAATTTCACTAATATGCAAAGTGGGAAGGGAAAAATACTGGGCTCTCCCTTCTCCTTCTCCTTCTCCTTCTCCTTCTCCTTCTCCTTCTCCTTCTCCTTCTCCTTCTCCTTCTTTCTCCTTCTCCTTCTCCTCTTTCCCCTTTCTGTTTTCCTCCTTCTCCTACGCTTTCTCTATTTCCCCTTCTCCTTCTTCACTCCTCCTTACCTTTTCCCTTCTCCTTCTCCTCCTCTTCCTCCTCCTCATCCCCTGCTGAGGATCTGAAGAGCCAGAAGCCTCTTTGAAGAATTCATCTTCTTGCCTCTCCCAAAAAGGTCTCCACTACTGATAACTGGATACCATCCTGGCATGAGGAGGGGCTCTCTCTGGTGTGCACCAAAACTGCTTGGCAAAAACCTTGTTGTCATCATTTATGCTTTGTTCCTATGAGCAGTATAAATAATAAACAGACAATATCTTATGAGAAGAGGATAAAAATGAATAAAACACCTTCAGCACTGGCTACTAATTTATAAATGGAAAAATGACAGGTGCCATACTCTCTTCTTCAGCCTAAAAGCATGGGTAGCTCCAGGTCTGGCTTGAAAATGGGGGAAGCCAAGATGCAGCAAGTGGGCAGAGCTTCTCTCCCTGCCCCCAGACTCCTTGTTCTTCTCTGGAACAGGCTGGGATTCACCTGGCAGAGCAGTTTCATGTGGGAGGATGCTGTGTGTGTCAGCTCCCTCTAGGAATAATAATTAACCAAGGTCAAGACTCCTGGATCCATGGAGTGGAAACCTTCAAGGAAAGCACAAGCACTACCAAAGTGGTTCTGGTAACTCTGTAGGAAACCATCCCTGAGCCAGAGATGAACCAAGCCCTTTCCATGGCATTCATGGCTTTAACCTCACACTGCACAACATGTGAGAACACACAACTCCATTTCTTCCTGCAGCCAGTCAGCACAAGGAAGTACAAGCTGCTCACCTCACTCTGACTGCTTGAGAGGAACTTCTAACCTTTCCCCAATGGCTCAGAAAAGACAGAAAATGGAGATTCCAACAAGCACATGCAAGTGCACTTTCCCCAGAACGTGGGTTTTGACACTGAACCTTTGGTGAGCTGCAGTCCTGCCTGCTCAGCCCTCCTCTGCTGAGCTGCTGTTTGGTGTGGGATCCACCTCATGCATCTCATTGTACACCAGGAGAGCAAGCACAGCCCCTGTGCTCTTGCCCAAGAGAGAGCAGCATTTTGTGCTTGTTTTGGAGAAATTATATGATGTAGTTTGTAAACTGCCTCTGAAAACTTTGAGGAGGAGGATGTCAACAAACTATTTATATCCCACTGTAGTAATTCCTTTCCTCATTTTTTCTCCGGTGTCCTTTACAATTGAGAATCCATCTCCCTGTCCTCTTCTGAACGGGGATTGCCTGATTTTTTTCCAGCTAATAATGAAAATAACAAATGCATTCTGGAGACTTGTAGAGAGCACTGATATGCTGTGAAGATGAGAGGGTGAGGGAAGAGACTTTTGGCTGTGATGAGACCCAGATGTCCCATTCTGGCTGTGTCCAGCAAAGTTACTGTCAAGTCTTTGTTTTAATTGGGTCCCACTGCACAAGCATATTCATTAGCATAACAAAGTAGCAATGGCCAAGGAAAGGAAAAAAATTACTTGCCTAATGGAAATGAATTGTGCAGCATAACCTGGTGTTACATGGGACTCTATCATGGTATTTAATGTCTCTCCCCATGCTGAAAGAAAAGAGTCTTGACACAGGCGCCAGTAGGTCTGTAGAGCCATTGGTAGACAGCCAGGGCATACCATTTAATGGAAGTACATCATTAAATATGCCTTTATTTTTATTACTTTGTAATATTATTATGCAGCTGAAATAAATCACAAGTTGTTTTTAGTGGGATTCCGTCACAAGCCACAAAAGCAGTGGGCTGGGGGGTTCCTTCTCATTCTCCCTGTAAGCAACTTTCTGCACTCTCTGAAAAGAGCAAAACCTTCACATCAGGGTCAACCCATGACCTTTCCCTCTTTCAATATTTATTAAATGTATTATTAAATCAGTACAACTTGAGATCACAGGATGTAGTTCTAGGCTTCTGCAGCCCCAAGTCTGGAGGCAAACACAAGTGGCAGAGCCCCCAGACCAAACTGGAGGAACAGGAGAGGTCTGGGAAGCCAAAGGTGTTTTAACTACCCTGCCCCGTTCCTGTGTGGCTCCCACATCCCCTCCCAAACCAGGTAGGTGCAAAGGTGCTGCCTGCTCACCTAATTAGTGAACATCAGTGAACTGGAGAGGGAGTTTGGCTCATGCTGCCACAACCAGATGGGTAAAACATGAAATCTTCAGGCATGCAGCAGAGAAGTGGAAAAGGAGATGTAAAAACCTGTGCTTGGACCTTCACCAAGCTGTCTGCCTGCCCCAAGAACCCACTCCTCACTCCCATACGCCATCAAGGATGCAGCACAGTGTTTGGTTTTAAAAAGGAGGGACACCCAAAGCTCTGTCACACAGTCACACATTTTCTCAGCTCTTGTGTAAGTAAGGAGTTTGTGGTGCAAAACATTTTGCAGAAAATCGTGCCAGCAGGACATTGTTAGCCAACATGTGATGATTTTAGCTTAACACATTTTGGTTTTCCTCTGCTCCCAGTCCCCTCTGAAATCTGTGCTCTGTGTGCAAGCCCTCCCTCCCTTGGACTCTTCTTCCTTTCTTTTTTTTTTCTTTTTTTTTTTTTCATTTGCACATGGTCAGAATGTTTCAAGGGAAGGGAGAATTACAGATCCTGATTTAGAGAGTTCTGCTGAACTACTGGCATTATTTGTGTAAAACATTAGTTCCTTCTCATCACCTTTAAGATGCTTTTTTTTTTTTAGGTAAATGCTAACTGGAGGTTTATCATTAACCACCTTTAGTTTTTTGTAAGAGTTTATATTATTCACATGAACAGTGTGTGTTGTAAGATTCCTTTTTTCACTGTTTAGATACAATTTACTCACAGTTTCAGTTTTGTCTAATCTGAAGCCAAGCTGAGTTCAGTCTTCAGATAAGCTCCACCTCAAATGGGAACCTCAAAAGGCTTCAGTTTGTCCAGTTAAGATACAAGTATCACCTGTTTGGATACTGAAATGTGTGCACATCAAAGAGAATTATTGTGCTTCAAGGTCAAGAAGAAGCATTAACAGTAGGATGTTGAATTTGAGATCATTCAATTTAGAAAAAAAAAAATTTATAGCCTGTTCTTTCCTGCAGTAAGGTTGGGTCTCAGTCAAGCCTATTCTTGCTGTGGCAAGGAGCAGCACAGGTGGGTGCAAAAGTAGATCTGCTGAGCAAGTGTCGGAATGGAGACAAATGGATGCTCTTACAAAATTTCAGCCCATACTTTGATACTCCTGTGAAAAGCCCTTCTGTTTGCAGCCAAAACCAAACTGGAAGAGCTCTGTTGGCTTGTACTCCCAGGCTGAGCACTCAGACTCTGGGTTTCTATAGAAGTGGCACCTCTGATGACATCCCTGTGTTTCTGTGCCCACAGCACAGAGCTCAGGGTCACCAGGCAGGTGGGAGCAGCAGCAGCAGCCACAGAACAGACAGAACCTGCACAGAGGATTTTCTCTCTAAATGAAAAGGGGTTGTGGAAGGGACATCTCTGAGCCACATGTCAGAGGGAGACAGCAAACCTTCCCCAGGCCCAGCTGCTGAGGGGCTCTGCTGCCACCCACATGTCAGAGGGAGACAGCAAACCTTCCCCAGCTGCTGAGGGGCTCTGCTGCCAACCTCCCAAATCCCTTTATCCAGTGTGCTCCAGAGTGTCACCCCAGGATGAGGATTCCTTCCACAGCCACAGCCAGGAGGAAGCCATGGAGGGCAGGGAGGAGAGCTGGGGTAGGGACACAGCCACCCATCAGCTCCCTACCACCAACACATGAGAGAGCCTTCCAAAGGACAGGACTTGGGGAAGAAATATCCAGCACTGACTGCTTCTCAATTAGTCCTTGACATCATTTTAGGACAAGTTCCTTCTATATTTCTTGCTACCCTACAGCTCCTGTTTCTGAGCTGGAGGAATGTCTCCTTACCCCTTCTTTATACCCCCTTGCTATGCACACACAAACAAAACCACAAACACCCAGATATAAACCTCTTATTTTCATTTGGGATGTGGATTGCAGAGGGATTCTGTTCAAAAACCTAGAGGGACCTGTGCTCCCAGTCTGACTGTCTCTTCACAGTACTAACTCCTCCCTCCTTCTTTTGCTATGTTTGCCAGTGGAAAAAATTAGCAAACCCTATTTACAAATATTGCCTCTTGGCCCTCTGCCTAATGCTGTACTATTAAGGCTGTCGTTGTTCCACTAAACAATTGCAAATGTTTTTGCATGCATGCATTGGCTTGCTTTTGAGTTCAGAGACTTTTATTCCACCAACTGCCACAAAAATTGTCTTGGAGAACCTTTTTCTTAGCTGAATCCTGAGCCCAGAAACAAGTAATCTCCATTTCTGCCTTCCCAACGTTCTTTGAGCAGGTTAGTGCCTAAGCTGAGCTACGAGCAAGGAACAAAATGTTTCTCCTCAACTTTTCCCTGAAAGTCCTGACCTAGTAGCCATTCTCAGGGTATATTTTCAGGATTCTTCCCCCACCAAAAAGCCATGG